CCAGCTCGTAGGCATTCAATTTCGCGGCTGCCTTTGGAAATTGGCAGCCGTGGAATCCTTCCCCAACAGTTAGAAAAAAAAAAAAAAAAAAACCCTCGTAGACTTTCCGGGCCTTCCAGATCGTTGGTGAGGGCGATAAAAAATCAGGCACTATTTTTTTAGGGCGGCCCAGGGCGTGAACAAACGCCCTGGACCGCCCAAAAACAAATTGGCCATTGGGCTGGGGCCCACACATCCGGAGCGAGATCCGGACCCCGGACCCCGGACCACGGACTGTCCGGATCCCTGTCCGGTGGTCCGGATCGTAGCCATGAGAAAAATACAGCTGTCTTCTCCTCATATATGGGGGACAAGCTGTATTTTTACTACCCTATTTTTTTCTCTCAATCTTGTATCTACCTCACCCTAGCTACCTACCTAATGGGCCACAACCATCCTGAAGAAGCAGTTTCTCTATTCATGAGCCAACCTTAAATGTACTGACTATGTCTAAACTATCCGGAGGTTACAGGTCTATGCCTACCTAACTCTGCTCTGTGCGGGGAGCAGCACCCAAGCTCCTAACACCTGACGCTGCCCTGGAAAGTGCACGGATACTAACACTTTCACAACCAGCCAGGAGGGACAAGCCGACTTCCTCAGTCAAAACTCGAAGTATGCCACACAGGGGGTCGTGGGGAATCAAATGGATGCCGTGGGGAATCGAACCCATGACCTCCTGTGTACTTCTTCCCCCTCTTCATCTACTCAAAACTTGCTGTTCTTCTACATGGCCCATGTGGGGACTAAACCTAGCCCTCCATAGCCAACCCTCTCCTTCCTCCTCCTCCGACCTTCATATCCATAGCCGTGGAGGTCTTCTCCTCCATCCCCAGGCTCCTCCTCCCGCTTCAGACTGCTCCGCTAACTCACCCGGTGGTAGAGCAGCATTCACCCTACAACATGAGCCATAAAGTTGAACCGCCACCAAAGTGATGTACTCAGTGGACCGGTGGATTCAGTGGACAAGCTGCCTCCTCTGCTGGGCATTGCCTTCATGAGGTAGGAACATTATTGCAGTCCTAAGCATACAGCTCATACGTACCCAACCTGATATCTGTCCGGGTTCCGACCATTACCATAAATGAAGGTTTCCAAATCTTATCAGACTACACAACAGTTCCACGATGCAGACCCCAAATTTGAATCTCAGGGTCAACGTCCCCAGGCTGAAAGAGGCCAGGTCGGCCAATTTCAGAAAGCGTCAAGGTACCCCAGAGGTCAAGTCCGACAGGTACCCGGTCAACGGTCACATCCCGTAGGCAGAAGTCATGTCTCACAGTCAGAAGTCGTGTCCCACAGGCAAGAGTCACATCTCGCAGTCAAAAATCATATTCCACAGGCAAGGGTCACGACGAACAGGAAAAGGTAAAGTCCCACACACCCAAAGCAGCAGCACACCAGGAAAAGCCCAGGAAGGTACCGGGCCTCAACATTTTGAAGCAAACAGGCCGCAGGGCAGCCGGGACAGCCGGTGCCGGGTCCAAGTCAAGCCAAAAGAAGCAGAGGCTGGGACGAGTCACGGCTCAGTCCAAGTCAATACAAGGACTGGCTCGCCTCATTTCGGACAGGTTGCTCATTTGCAAGAAGTGTGGAAGTGCTGCTGGCACTTGTGTGCTATTTGTGAGTGGCTAGCGCTGGAGCCCTAGATGGGCAGTGCTGTGCTGAGGAAGGAAGGCGGCCATAGCCGCATAGCTAGTAGTAGGAGGTAGAGCTGAGTAGTAGCGGATGTATTAAGAGTCAACATCCTCAAGTCGAGTGAGAGAGAGAGGGGGAGAGAGTGAGCGCATGCATGTAGTGTGTGTGTGTGTGTGTGTGTGTGTGTGTGTGTGTGTGTGTGTGTG